CTCCAAATGAGCCCTGCTAATTCCTGCCCTAACCTCCTTTTGTCCCTGTGAGATAAGCCTTCCCTACATATCACTGTCTGGACTGGTGTTTTATAAAACCAGCCATTATCGAAGAAATGAGTTGACTTTAGGTTTTTAGCTTACAACATGACATGTAGTACATACCTTTTGGATGTAAATGGGTGATGGTTCTAGAATATGTTGCTTTTGAGTAGGAATATTTTAGGTATTAAGGAATCTGTCACTGTGGAAAAACAAAAGGCATGACTCCAGAGCCGCCAATAGGATGGCATCTGCTGTGGATAAACATCTGGGAACAGGAGGAAGACTATTCTGCTTCAGAAGAATTAGGCTCTGTCTAGACTAAGGATTTGACCCGATTACAGCCATTAGTGGCTGACAGAAACTACCCATTGATATAGTCTGTAGAATAGATGGGCAGAGTTGCTGCTTGAGTGTGTGGGACTTAATAAACTAAAACTCCACCTGATTATGCAAATGGGATTTTGTACCTTTATATTCAGAATTGTCCAGCATAACTACAGCAAAAACCCTGTAATTTTCACATCCACATTTTGGCAAGGCCACCAAGACTATGGACATGAAATAGATGAAATGGATCTTTCGTAGTATAAATGCAGCTTAGAGCAAATAAAATAAGCATCTATCAATAAGGTAGTCAGAGAAACATGAACACTAATACTTTAAAGGAGTTTTGCTACATTCTGAGACACAGGATCTAGTTGGCTTAAGGTTCCTAAGTCAGGTTGTTACCACGAGAGGGTTTTACTCTGTTGAGATGATCTTGCAAACCGATAAAACAAGGCTTTTGTAGAAGTAATTAATACTTGTAAGTTTTTTGTAATTAGGGTCTAAATAGTTTTAAGTATTCAACATGAATGTATTAAGACCTGAAAAATTTTAAACTACTTACGTAATACTAATTTCTCTTCAGTGGTGTTTAGTATTTGATATTTGCTTTCGTTCAGTACATATGATTTAAATAATATTTTAATTAACTTTTACAGGAGAATTTGCAGCAGTTGATCATGATGTCTTTGCCAAATGTATTAATAATTGGCAAAAATCCATTTTCTGGTAAGTTTATTTTTAACTAAGATGAAAATTTATACTGGTGTAATAATTTGTATCGTTTCACTGTAAATGTAATTCATATACGGTTGAGCCTTTCAATAAAAGATTGTGTAAACACTGCTAGCAAGTAAGTGGTTTAATAATGATAAGTAACATTTTCTTTGTTCACACCAAAGGTCCACACTTTACAAAAATGTGTTCTGTCATTAGGATTTATACTGAAACGAAGTGTATTTCTCAGCAACTAGTGAGCCACTGATATGACAAAGTATAAGTTTCGTGTATTCCCAGCTACTTCGCTTTCAACTTTCTTTACCTTAAGCCACCTCTGAGAAAATTGTCAGTTCAGTGCACCTCACTTGATCCAACTCCTAATCCTTGTTTTTCCTTCCCTGAAACTCTCCTGCTTCTCTTGCATCGTTACCTGAAAAATATTGCAATTATCTCCTTGCTTTCTCCCCTGAACTGACACTGTCTTCTCCATGCTCCCACCTTCTCTGCTTCCAGCTCTGAGAGTTGCAATTTTCAGACCAAGAAAATTAGCCTGTGTGGACCCAGCTGACTATCCACAGCCACTTGGGAATCTCTGCACCATGCTCTCAATTCCAGAAGCACGGAGCAGACACACCTGGCCTGCATGGAGCCACTATGGATTGGGCAGAATTTATTTACTTGGGTCTAATGTATCCCAGGTGTTCTACTTCAGATGTTCTAGCACCTCAGCAGAGAGGTTAGGAACTACTCTAACAGGCTGTGTAGCTTCCCTTGGCTTTTTTTATTTATTTAAGATGTCTTATATGCCATGCTTCCATGTATGTGAGACAAGATTTTTCTCATGAGCAAGAAGAACCATCTGTGTTACCTCACTTTTCAATTCCAGGGTTCATAATGTTGATACTTTCCATATGCCATCTGCATATACCCCATTTATGTAGGTATCTTGATTTTTTTTTTTTTTTTGATTTTTACATTCTGCTTTTGAGTATTGCTGCTTTTGCTTCTGAGGTCATGGCCTTTTGAGTTTTTATATATGTAGATGCTGTAATCTATTATATGCAGCAAGAAGCGTGAATGTGGTCTCTTCTTTTCCAAAATAATAGAATCTATCATGCTTTTTTTATTTTGATTACAGACTTTCTTAAGATTTTTGAAAGACTCCAGATCTGATTTACTGATTTACAGATTTACAGACCAGATTTAATGGAAAAACAGATCATAGTATTGTTTTTGTAGTGACTTTTTAAATGCTTTTTAAGGTACTGAAACAAAATATATCTTAACAATATTGTGTGGTTTAAGATGAAATTTTATTAAAAATGCACTACAAAAACCCACAAAGATAATTTAGTATTCCGTTGTATACATAAAAACCCATGCTTTAGTCATTAATAATAAAGTTTCTTCCTGTTTTAGGACCTCAGCTAAGTCTATATGTAGCTTTTGTGGTTTGGCAACTGCAACGTCTGGTGGTGTATGCATTGCTGTCCTGTGGGGATATTACTGGATTTGTGAGAAAATATGGACGTTACTGTAGCATAGCCCACATATTAAAAAAAAAAAATATATATATATATATATGTACAAACAATATTCTTGAAGATGTTTCAGATTCCTGCCAGAGTTCGTTATGGAGTTTGATCTGAATCAGGAGATAGACCTATTCTTTTGGGTTCCATCCAGAACCTTTCCCCTTGGAAAGTTAAGACTGTTCTTGCTGTGTCAACTTGAAGAGGACCTCATCCCTAGAGGGATTTTTAAGCTTTTTTTTTCTTTGTGGGCAAGCATAGTGAAATCAAACCTCAGTGACCTTTTGAGAGACTTGCTGTGTAAATCTGATTGCACTAAGGCAAGCATCCATAGTAAAAGTTGATTTTCAGGTAACAATAAGCATTTGGTCCTCTAAAGCTTATTCTGTAGCTGTGATTTTTGCAGGAATGTCTCGCAGTTTTTCCTCTTTGCACTACTTTGCACTTAAGGAATGGTTAGTAGAGAAATACCAGAAGACAACAAATTGCAGAAGGCAAGGGCAGATAAGATTTCAGGAAGAGAAATGTGTTTGACTGTATCAGAGGCAGTTAGCTGATCAAGGAAAATGCAGATAGAATGCTGGATTTGAGTTTTGGTAAAAAAAGAGGTCATCAGAGACTTTATCAACTATCATTTCAGTTGAGCTAATTGGCAGGAAGCCAGTTCGAGGGGGAATCTGGAGGATAAGAGCTACAGATTGTGATTGTAAATGTTAAGTTAAATTACAGAGGAAAAGGAAAAAGGAGGTAATGATGAGGCAAATGTTCTTTAGTGGGGGAAGAGGAAAGATTAAAACAGTTTGTGTTTCTGAGGGAGTGAGCCAGGGGAGGATGGAAGGCTACAGAGGATATGAAAGCCAGGGATAGGAGTGAGTACAGGGAAGATCAAAGGATAGGATGGGTTAAGGACAAAGTTCAAACAGCAGGTTGGAGGGTTTAGAGGAGAATGATCTATTTCTGTATTGGTGATGCAGAAAAAGGAAGAAAAACATACAAGGTGGTTGGTAGCAGTGGGAAGCTGAGGCTATTCAGTATTTTGCCATATTCTTTCAGGGAATGTGAGGGAGACACATGGAAACAGTACTCAGGTAGGCTTTTAAAAGCCAGTTAAGAGATACTGAAGCAGTGTGCAAATGAGCATCCAAAGAAGAGATCAAGGATTGCTTTTAATAAATAAATAAATAAATAAAAAGTGTGATTAATTTATTGGGATAAATGAATGTAGGATGTACCTTGTTGGGATGGATTCCTTCTATTACAATATTCTGGTTAACCTTTATTGATTAAGACAGGCAGCCAGGTGGAATTCCCCTTCTTTAGCTGAAGTAGTGTGCTTCTGATGGAACATGTTCATTCATTGATGGTTTCTATTTCTATGTAAAAGACTTCACAGCTCAAGTCTTTGGGATACACATCAGCATAAATGATTAAAGATCTCCCATTTGAGTTCATGTCCTTTGTAAGGTATCTACTTGACAAACCTCTTTTGAAAATTTAAATGTTATATGTTCATTAGGGTTATACATGTCTCCTTCTAAAAGAAGCACGTTGAGTCAATGTTAAAGAAAGGCTCTCTACTTAATAATACACAGAGACCTCCTTGAAGCCATGAGGAAGGTGGAGAAGCTTAGCATCTGTCTGTTTCATCTCTGCTTTATGGCAGCAGGCTTGACTTTTTACTGAAAGCTACTCAAAATCATTAAGAATTATGTATACTTTTATGTTTTTTCCTGATTTCTTTTTTGATCAAGATTAACTCATATCTGTTACTTTTTGAGAATTTTGCATTTGCTTACCTTAAATAGATCAAATCAAAGGACAATTTTTCAAGTGCTTCTAAGTGAATGGTTACATCTTTCTTATGTGGAGGTAAATCCAAAATAGATGTAATTGCCCAGTGTCGAAGGTTGCAAGCTGTCATTTCAGAAGGAGGGTTCTGGTTGAATTTTCTTTCAGATGCTTATAACCATCTTGTGATCATTGGATTAGAGAGTCCTTTAAAAAAGGGACTTCAGTAACTTGGGTCAGGTTCAAGAATGTGCATACCTTAGTACATGCTAGACATTCACTGTGGTGTTTGCTCTTTGGACTGAGAGTGAATCTGTTGGTGATGGCAGTAGTTACACCAGCTATATTGCAGAGTACAGTTTTGCAGAATAAAGGTCAGATTTCTGGCCAGACCCAGCATTATTATGTTTGACAGCATAACTTTTGTCTGGTTAGCTAACCATGAAATAAACTATTGGCTGAAATCCAGAGTATACTGTAGAAAGGATGCTATTAGGACTCTTTTATTCCTAGAGAGCCCGATGGATAGTGTTTTCTGTTTCAGTAAAGCAAAACAGTTTATGACCATACAGAGTTTCATTCCAAATAGCCTAAACTGTTTTGTTGTCAGTAACGTGTTTGCTTTATGGCATTTATATACTAGACACAGCATGTATTTAGTAGCAGGAGGAGGACATTTTGAATGTAAAAAGTAAAAAAAATCTTTACTAATCTGTAAACATAGTTCTTTAATTTAAGCTTCTTTAGGAGATTAAGATGCTTAAGGCCAGATTTGGATATACATTTTGATTTTTAGATGTGCAGATGAATATTTAATATAGCCTTATGAAATAATTTAAATGAACTTGTCACCTAACTCATACAGCTTGGGGGTGGCAAATAATTTCAGCACTTTTGTGAATATCTTGAGACACCTTAAATTGAACTTGATTGTAGATCTCCAAAGCACTTTTGACAATGTCACTCTAAGTTTTGCTTTATGAAGGACTGAAATGATGTTTTAACCATTTGAAACTATTACAGATGTTAAGCTGTTTAACGCTGGAAGTTGGCAGTTAAAAGGGCTAAGTTGAAAGTTGGAAAGATGGATTTCCTTCATCTTTTTGTTTGCTAAACTAAGTTAACATAGATTAAATGAAAATAATGAGAAGACCTTATGTTTTCTGAGAGGTAGGGGAGGAAACTCAAATTACCATTTTACACCTACCATTTTTTTTGTTCTTGTTTTCTTCTTAGAGCCAGGTACTGAAGAAATAAAAAAACTCCTCCTGCTTTTACTTGGTTGTGCAGTTCAGGTAAGTTTAATATAAGTTTATAACTGTATGAAATGGTTTAAGTGTTATCAATCTCTCTTCTTGCTATTTTAATACCTGAGGTGCTATATAACTTTGACCTTCCTTCCTCTAGTGGTACTATTGCATTCCTTGGAAAATCTGGATATTCTTACAGTTAAAATGACTACAACTGTACACCTCTTACAGTTTATAGTATGAATATAGCAAGCAGTGTACGTAAGATTAAGAATAGTTTAATTGTAATACTGTTAATTCACCTGATATTGCAGAGAAAGGAAGAAAATGGTAAAGTACCAAAGAATTATCTTATTGAAACTGTTTCACTTATTTAATAAATGTCTTTTGTTGGACTGCTGTTCTTAATAGGAGAGTTTGTACCTTTCAGCTAATTAAACGGAAAAAACAGATCAGTCATATATCCTTAACAACTTAAAGAATCAACTTGAGTACTAGAGGAGGGCACTGAAAAAATACCTGTGGAACTCACTATCATAAAATTTTAATAAGTAGCTATTTTAAGAAACCGCTTCCTTCCCCCTTTTCAATAGCTTTTTTTTTTCCTTTATAATTTTATTAGTGTTAAAAGTTGTTATAATTACTCTAACATGGCATAAAACAAGTGTTTATTGGTTGACAAAATTACTGGATAATAATTTAGCAATGTGGTCATTGTAATTTCAGATTTATCATTTTTAACTCTTAGAAATATAAAGGAAGAATGAAAATACTTGTGATTTTATATATATGTATATAAAATAGATAACTTTACTTTCAGTGTCAGAAAAAAGAAGAATTTATTGAAAGAATCCAAGGTCTGGATTTTGACACAAGAGCAGCTGTTGCAGCCCATATTCAAGAGGTATATTGTTATTTTTGTGCTTTTAAGTTTTTTGGAGATGGAATATTGTATTAGAAGAATGTAATTTACATTTGTTCAAAAGCAAGTAAATCAAATACATGATTTGTATATCTGTTGGTTTTAGTAAGCAAAAAAATGCCTTTTTTTTAAACTTAAGTCACAGAAAGATTTCATGACCAAGCTCTTTTGGATTACATTGTTAAAACAGTACCAGGGAGGAAGTATGTTGCTCCGAGACTTTCTTAGATTTACAGGAAATTTACTTTAGTGAAATTTTCATATGCAAATTTATTTATAAAACGTAATTCAAATCCCATGTATGTAATACATAATGCATGTTATGTCATAGTCACCTTTTGCTTTTTATTTTGCCAGAAATACAAGGTACTACTTTCAAGTAGATAAGAAACTATTCATAACATATGATTTAATATATTTTAAATGTTTTTTCATGCCTTGTCCAGAGAATTTAAGCCATAGAGTTTCAGCTTTATTTTCATATATTGAATTCCTACTCTTATAATTTAAAGAGGATGGTTTTTTCTCTTCATTTCATTCCATGTAGGTAACTCATAATCAGGAAAATGTGTTTGATCTGCAGTGGATGGATGTCATTGTACTGACACAAGAATATGTTGAACCTCTCTTGAAAAATATGGCGTTACATTTAAAAAGACTTATAGATGAAAGAGATGAGCACTCAGAGGTATGGATGTGGTTTGTCGCTTAAAAGAAATAAAAGACATAATTTTTTTGAAAATTATACAGCTTACCATTTTTCTAACTAGTAGTTTAATGTATGTTCTGTTTGCATATTTATGGAAGGACTCCTTACTGCCCAAAAGCAGTAACCAGAGTCTGAAACAAGTCTTTTCATCTCTACTTGAAAACAGAAAATCCAAAGCTATATCAGCTGAAGTTTCCAGGAATCAGTAACCCATCTGTTTGCAAGCCAGTCACTGAAAGATGCCTGTTACATTACTGTGGCCTTTTGTACAGGTTTGAGTGAACTGGAGCAGAATCCATACTAGGAGAGGAGGTGTGACAGGTTTACTGTGAGGCACAATCATTGTACTGTGTGAAAATCAAGAAACAGAAATGTATTTAATAAAAATTGCGAGTTATGAATCATCTTGGTGGTCCCAGATTTGCCCCTCAGTAGAGTGTGGATATGTTAATGTTGCTGTTATTCCAAATATTTCTTTGACAGTTAGCAACTGTCTTTCCAGTTCACAACCTTGAGAAGAGTAAGACAGAAACTTAACTGTGAGGGGAGAGGATGTGTGGTAATGCATCTTTGCAATGCAAAGGAAAAGTAACTTTAAAATACAAGAGACCTTCATATTAGTATAATACCTTTATTTACATGATGAAATAGGAATATTCCTATAGGTCTGATACTTTATTCAGTTGGTAAGGATACTGCTGCTCACCGAGGAACACCAGTTTCTTGAGAGATTTGTATTTAGAATCATAGAATCATAGAATGGTTTGGATTGGAAGGGACCTTAAAGCTCATCCAGTTCCAACCCCCCTGCCATCAGCAGGGACACCTTCCACTAGACCAGGTTGCTCAAAGCCTCATCCAGCCTGGCCTTGAACGCTTCCAGGGAGGGGGCATCCACAGCTTCCTTGGGCAACCTGTGCCAGTGTCTGACCACCCTCACAGTGAAGAAGTTCTTCCTAATATCTAATCTAAACCTCCCCTCTTTCAGCTTAAACCCATTTCCCCTTGTTTTGTCATTAACTGCCCTTATGAAAAGTCCCTCCCCAGCTTTCTTGTAGGCCCCCTTCAGGTATTGGAAGGCCGCTATAAGATCTCCCTGGAGCCTTCTCTTCTCCAGGCCGAACAGCCCCAACTCTCTCAGCCTGTCTTCATAGGAGAGGTGCTCCAGCCCTCAGATCATCCTGGTGGCCCTCCTCTGGACTTGTTCTAGCTGCTCCAGGTCTCTCTTGTGATGGGGGCTCCAGAACTGGACACACTTTATCCTCATGTTTGAGGAATTAATGTTATTTCATTACCCAGTCCGTTTGAAGCACTGATAATTTTGTGGACTTAAAAGTCTAAATTTGAGTCATTTAAGAGTAGCCAAACGGTACTGTTGAATAGCTGTGACTATTTGCTTTAGGTTTAGAGGTGTATGTAGGGCTTCTAACTTTTATTATATGGCAAAACTGTTCCATTATTCTTGATTCATTTCAGTCTTTGATTTATTAAAGTAGTAAATTATATAAATTTCTGATATATAAGTGGCTCTCTGAATGCAATTCTATACTTTTTTCTCTATGTATATTTTTGTATTTCTTAGACTATCATAGAACTCTCAGAAGAACGGGATTGTCTCCGTTTTCTACCTCATGCATCAGCAGCACAATCACCTTGTGGATCTCCTGGCATGAAACGCACTGAAAGCAGGCAGCACCTGTCCGTAGAGCTAGCAGATGCCAAAGCAAAGATAAGAAGGCTGAGGCAAGAGCTGTGAGTACATGTAGATTGCAGAAGTGTGTTGAAAGTTGTAGGGTTTTAAAATGCTGTTGATCTTGCATAGTAGTAGTACTCTATATAGACAAATTCTTCATTCTTTCAAATGCTAAATTACATTTTAAAATGCTTTTTTTAATTACTGCACCCCAGGAAGCGTATTTTTAGCATGTAAGCGTATTTGTGGCCCAGTGTGATAAATACAACTTTTCATCTGTGTTTGTCTTAATTTGTACTGTGAATTCTATTGATGTTTTAACTGTAGACATATTGAAATCAGGGAACTAGTGCTGTGGTAATTTTATATCTTTTGTACTCTGAACTTTCTGAAAAACTAACTATGCTTGAGCAATCTCTTGAGCATGTTACAATACAGTAATGGGCTCTTTGCTCTACGTAAATTGTTAGAAATACTCACAGCTAGTCTAATGCAGTGTTGCCCTTTTTTTTTTACGTATGTCCATACAGTTGTTTCAAAGGCAAGTTCTTTGTTTCCTCTATTTTTCGTTATCATTAATGAATGTCTGACTATAGTTTTAATATATCTGTATTCATACATTTCTGTGTACATTTCTAAGGGAATAGCGTTGCAGTTGAGGCAATCATGGGCTGACACACTCTCGAGCAGTTGCATGGGGCAGACAGGTAGAAGAAAGAGCTAGAAGAAAGAGCTGTGTCCTGACCATTCAAGGATTAATGTCTGTTTTAAAAGTAGATAGTGCTGTAGTGATTCCTTATTGGCAGCATGATTAAGTTACCTGTTTCTTGTTGGAAATACAGGAAGAAATGGTCATCTGTTCATGGTTTATGAAACATTGAAATTTGTTGCAGAGAGGAAAAAAAAATAGGCTTAGAATAATTTCCTCTCCCCCCCCTTCTTTTCTTTTTTCTGTGTAGAAGATTCCTTGTCTGCACAACACTTAATTTGCTCATGGACTTCATTACTGTTCCACTTTTATCTGCTGTGCCACTCTACAGAGAAAAATGAAAGAAAATCATGCAAACCAAACTCCACTAAAATCTCTTGACCCACTGCAAACCTTGATGCAGCAAAAGAGACTGAGTTTACTGGCAGGGTGTGGTTATTTATGTCTAAGTAATAATATAATTTGTAAAATTAGTAGATTTTGTAGCTTGGCTCAGTTATGGTTTCATACAGTTTCCAGCTTGCTATGTTAATCCAGTTAGAGGAGTGCTCTTTCCTGCCCCTCGTGCTGACCCCTTAGCTAAGAGGTGTATTCTTCTCCTTCAACTCATCCAACTACTGAGAAAAATCAGTCCCATTAAAATAAAGATCTTTGCTTCTTTGATTTTTATGTCCTCATGAAAACCTTTTTTGTCCCTTCTATTTTGTGATGAAACCTGATTCAGTATCAGAGGGTACTTAGTCTGTCTTCATCATCTAGGAATAAATCTGAGCAGCAGTGAAGAGTTATTTAAAGAGAAAATAATGGGCCAATGGAGAATCTGTTTCTCTCTATAGCAATGCTTAATATTGTTTTATCAGAGTGAAGAATGTGCAGTTTGAACTTAAAATACAAATGTTGAATCTGAAGAGATTTAATATATATAACTCGCCTGTAGTTTAGAAACAGCATAAATAAGGATTTTTTTAATCCAGCATATCTGGTGGAGAGAGGAGACAGGTAAAATGAAAAGTTGAAGTAGCATAAATCACAATTATCAGCTCACTGCTCTACTCTTATCAGAGTCTATTGATCACATCATCTCTAGCTAGCTGGGTTAAGTATCTGGTTGATTTACTGAGAGGATCCCCTTCCCCCACTACATTTTAGTCTTGACGAAGAATAGAGGACAAAAAGATACGGCTCTTTTTTTCTGATGTCTGTGTTATTATGTGTCTACTGAAATGAGCCCGCCCAGGGTATTCTATAAACAGCTGCACCAAGAAAATTAGTGAAAAAATTGCTGTTATTAGTTTGATTGACAGTTAATAGATAGCCTAAACAGTGAACACTGGTATGTTCTGTATAATTTAGTACAATCCTCTCTAGTCTGTAGCTGAAGCATGCAATTAGGGCAACAGTGATGGCTCGGAAGATTTCACATTTTGCTCCCTATTTGAATTCAATTCATAAATAATTATCCTTTATGCATAGCAGTATATTTAAAATACTAGACTTTGATAAATTTATTTCTCTCTGTAGCATTTGGTATTAAATGCTGCATTTATTTGATAAATTTAAAATTAGACTCATTTCAGAGTTGAAAATATTCAGCTTAAAATTTATTTATAATTTGGTTTTGGCAATTAACATTCATATCTTGTTTAGTATGCACTGCAGCTAATAAGACTTTCATACAAAAGATCTGTAAAGATTATTTTTCTTTGCAGCACCATATATCAACAGTTGGATACAAAACAGCTATTTGATGCTTATAATATAGAAACTGCAGAAATGGAAATTACACACCTCATTTTCTATGTTAAGTTCTGTGTGTTTCTATATAGAAGAATAATATAGGAATATGAATGTTAATAGAAAAGTTATAGTAATCTGCAGAATACATTTGTG